AATCCCACATTACTACAGACACAGCCGAGGCACTGAGACAATGCAATTATTCCGTCCCGTATCAGTCGGCCCTATACATCAGTACCCCTCAGGTACTCACCGTGCCGACCGCGCATGCGCCAGCCAAATTCGCGGCTCCAGCAGCTGAGCGAGATAAGATTTTTCCCGCGCATGCGCTGTTCCTGTCCTCCCGCCTTCTACGGGATAACCGCGCTGGGAGGGGAAAGAGGCGCGCTTGAGCGGGAAGTGTTTCCGGGACGAGGGTCAGGTGTGTGTGTAGTAAATAGATAGAGGACGGAGAGGCTTGGGCTGGTGTATCAGAGGGAAATAATGTGCTATGGTTCCCAATACCACGTCTTCTTGGAGTACACCGTACTATGTGTCATTCGTCCGGTGTAGAGGAAAGCACATGAGCTGTTTTATATATATATATATATATATATATATCTACCGTATATACGGGTTAGACCAAAAAAACTACATAATTGCAGGTGTGAAAGTGATTACATGTTTTGTATTGAAAGTGGAGGTGATGTAACATTCTTTTGCTTCTGCTGTGTGATGAGACACCTAGGTAACAGGTGGGAAGCCTCACTTTTATCATTCACTACTTGCTCTGCTAGTAATATGGAGTCATGTCAGCGCTTACTCAGCTAGCTGGTGCCTCAGAGTTACCAATATATTTGCCGTGTTGTGAGGTAGAATATCAGGTTATAACGGCATATCCAGTTTCTGGGAAAACATTGTCTGATACTTGCGGATGACATGGTCAGCTGACCCAAAGAGACAAAAGGACATTGTGACCTGGGATAGGAGTCCAATCTCCGTCTTCATGGGACTGAAGCTGAGTTCTGCAGTAATGCTGTACCTCACGACATGGCAAATACGTTTGTAAGTTTAGTCGCTGAGGCATCAGCTAAGCAAGTAACAATTTGCCCTCTTTGAAGCTCAGTAAGCTCTGACATGACTCTGTTTTACTAGTACTGAATGACCAAAGTGAGGCTTCTCACCTGTTAGTGTCTCATCACACAGCGGAAGCAAAAGAATGCTACATCACTTCTGCATTCAACGCAAAACATGGCACTTTCAAACCTGCAAATCGTGATGTTTACATTTGTTTTTTTTGTCTAACCCATGAGTGCGCACGCACACAGACACACACACACACACACACTCACTCACTCTCTCACCAAAAGTATTGAGACACCCATTCAAATCATTGGATTCAGGTGGTCCAATCACCTCTATGGCCTCTGGTGTACAAAATAAAGCACCTAGGCATGCAGACCTCTTCTACGAACATTTATGAAATAATGGGTCAACTGGGAACAGCAACTCAGCCACGAAATGGTAGGCCACGTAAAATGACAGAGTCCCCAACTTTCTGCAGAGCGAAGATCTCCAAACTTTGTGTGGCCTTCATAATAGCACAACAACAGTGTGTAGAGGTCTTCATGGAATGGGTGTCCATATCTAAGCCTTATATCACCAAGTGCAATGCAAAGCCTCGGATGCAGTGGTGTAAAGCACACTGCCACTGGACTCTAGTGGAGACATAGTCTCTGGAGTGATGAATCATGCTTCTCCGCCTAGCAATCCGATGGACGTGTCTGGGTTTATCTGTTGCCAGGAGAACGGTACTTGCCTGACTGCATTGTGCCAAGTGTAAAGTTGGTGGAGGGGGGATTATGGTGTGGGGTTGTCTTTTAGGGATTGGCCCCTTATTTCCAGTGAAGGGAACTCTTAAAGTGTCAGCATACCAAGACATTTTGGACAATTTCATGCTCCTAACTTTGTGGGAACAGTTTGGGGATGGCCCCTTCCTGTTCCAACATGACTGCATCAGTGCACAAAGCAATGTCCATAAAGAAATGATTGAGCGAGTTTGGGGTGGAGCAACATGACTGGCCTGCACAGAGTCCTGACCTCAACCCAATAGAACACATTTTGGATAAATTAGAGTGGAAACTGCGAGCCAGACCTTCTCGTCCGACATCCGTGCCTGACCTCACAAATTCTCTTTTGGAAGAATGGTCAAACATTCCCATAGACACTCCTAAACCTTGTGGACAGCCTTCCCAGAAGAGTTGAAGCTGTTATAGCAGTAAAGGGTGGGCCAACACAATATTGAACCCTATGGATTAAGACTGGGATGCCATTAAAGTTCATGTGTGTGTAAAGGCGGGCGTCCCTATACTTTTGGCAGTATAGTGTATCAGTGAGGTGGAAATTGATTGAGAAATTGGTGTCAGCATTAGAATTTTTTTGCAAGTGTTATAAAATGCAACCCCATCCTGAACTCTACTGGAACTTTCTAACCTGGGGGAGATGTGCACATTGGGGCCCAGCTGTTATGGTGGTGCACGCAAGGTAATTGTCCCTTTTTAAGAACTTAAGCAAGCACAGTTACTACAGTTCTTGAATACGACTTTGTCTCACTTTAGTAAGATGTAAGGTAGGGTTGAGCAGCCTCCTGTTACCAGTCGGTGTCAGCAGGAGACTTCCGTCCACTTCCTGGCAAAGCGTACCCTGGTCAGTGTCCTTAGCACCTGGTGCCCCGATCAAGCGGCAGGGTTACCCAGCATTCAGGGCATCCTCTAATACTCTAGAATAGCGTCCCCCAGTACTTTGGAATAACTGCCACTATGTGTCTTTCTCTCCCAGGTGCAATAGTCCACTTCCAGCCTCAGCCTCCTTGCCAAAATGCCCCTCTTCCCAGCACTGGAACACAGTTATCACACTCCCTTTCCTCTTCACCACATTGCAGCTGGAAGTTAAAGTCCAAGAGCAAAATTGTAGGACAGGCCAAGTGCAAAAACATGCAACAAACGTGGCAAAATGCTTGGTAAAAACAATGCAAACTGCAACATGCCAAAATGCCACATGAGCAATGTGTGTTTTCTTCTGTGTTTGGCGTGACATTAGGTGGCAGTACACAATACGATCTGTTTGTACAATCTCTGTACGATCTCTTAGATTTACCAAAACTATACAATAAGAGGACATGCCTATCTATCCAATCACTCTGTATCCAATTAGGCAGGCCCTTGCAGTACATAGTTGATGGTAGATCTAATGGAGATTGTACAATTAGATTGTATACTGTAGGGTGAGCTTTACTGACTTCCAGGACATACTGTTTTCAGTACTACCATTCTGCATATAGGCTGTTATGTGATCACTCTGCCAAATGAACAAGCTATGCAAAAAGATGGTAAGGTACAAAACAATCCATCAGCAAAGGAGGACACTGGCTTTGTATTCAGGGAGAACACTGCTCACTGACAATGGAGAAGCATGAAACTGCTGAGGTGGGTGGGAGAAATCTCTTGGAGGGGGAGGGCAGGTGTGGAGTGTGTTTTAAGGAGGTCAGCTTTTGAATAACGTCCTTTGCTCTAATAATGGTTTTCCAATCCTGCAGCACGTATATAAGAAAGTCATAAACCACTTGCCTATGGGGCACTTATACCCCCTTCCTGCCCACAGCAATTTTCAGCTTTCAGCACTGTCAAACTTTAAAAATTACTCAGTCATGGAACACTGCACCCATATGACATTTTTGTCCTTTTTTCACACAATTAGAGCTTTCTTTTGGTGATATTTACTCAGCACAGGGTTTCTTTTATTTTTTTGCGCTATAAATGAAAAAATGACCCAAAAAATTAAAAGCCCACACTTTTCTTGGTTTCTGTTGTAAAATGTTGCAAATCCAAAGACATGCTGATAGGTAAATTGTCTCCTGTCTAAATTGGCCCTAGCATGTGTATGTATGAATGTAAGTTAGGGACCTTAGATTGTACGCTCCTTGAGGGTTAGGGACTGATGTGAATGTACAATATATATGTAAAGCGCTGCTTACATTGATGGCGCTATATAAGTACCTGTAATAAATAAGTAATTTTTCTTCATACATTTTGGTCAAAATTTACACTGCTACATTTCTTTGGTAAAAATAACTTAAATCTGTCTATATTATTTGGTCTTCGTGAAAGTTAGTCTACAAGCGATGGTACCAATCATCGAAAAATGATCTCACCTGATGTACCGATGTCCTTTCTCATTTCCTGAGACACTAACAAGCCAGGACAGTACAACTACCCCCCTTTTGACCCCTTTTTGGAAAGTAGACAATCCTAGGTATTTAGTTTGAGGCATAGTGAGTTTTTTGAAGTTGTAATTTTTTTTCCCACAATTCTATTGAAAATTAAGATTTTTTTTTTTTTTGTTTCACAAAATTGTCATTCAAAAGGTTATTTCTCCCAAACGGCATATGCATACTTGTAACTATGCCCCAAAAACACATTCTGCTACTCCTCCTGAGTATGGGGATACCACATGTGTGAGAGATTGTTCACAGCCTAGCCACATAGAGAAGCCCAACATGCAAGGAGCACCGTCAGGTGACCTTGGGGTATAAATTACACATTTAATTTCCTGACTACCGATTACACTTTTGAAGGCCCTGGAGCACCAGGACAATGGAATTACCCACAAAAGGACCCCATTTTGGGAAGCAAACACCCCAAGGTATATTCTGTGAGGCATAATGAGTCTTTTGAACTTCATTTTTTTCCACAAGTTTTTGGAAAATGGAAAGAAAATGAAAACTTTTTTTTTTTTTTTTAACACAAAGTTGTCCATTTATAAGATATTTCTCACACATAGCATGTACATACCAAAAATTACACCCCAAAATACATTATGCTACCTCTCCTGATTATGGCGATACCACATGCGTGAGACTTTTTCACAGCCTAGCCATATACAGAGGCCCAATATCCAAGAAGCAAGGGCAAAAAATTTATACATCTAATTTCCTGGCAACCTATCACGTTTTTGAAGCCCCTGGAGCAACAGGAAAGTGGATATACCCACAAAATGACTCCATTTTGGAAAGAAAACACCACAAGGTGTTTTCTAAGAGACATGATGAGTCTTGAACATTTCATATTTTTTCCACAAGTTTTCGGAACGTGGAAAGAAAATGAAAATGTATTTTTGTAGCCTCCCTGGCGGTATTCCCGAGTGTAGCTCTGGGTAAAGTTTCAGTACCACAAGTGGTAACCCCAAGCTACACTCAGGCTTACCATGCGGCGCTGCTCCGCGATCCCTCGGTCACTTACCTTGTCCTGCGCTCCCGCGATGTCCCTCCTGCAGTGTCCCCGGCAATGTAATCCGGCGGATGCCGGGATCTGTCATCTGGGTTCCGTCCCCTGCGAGCGTCAGGACGTACAGGGGACGGAACAGTGGGAAATTTGAAAATGACAAAAAGTGACATTCACAAAAATCACTAAAATCACATAGTAAAACATTACTGTACCAAACCATTTCACATACATTTTGTCCTGTACCCTGCCTGCATTTTTACCATTCTTTCTGCCTGGAAACTTAGAAAAATCCATGGCGTCCAAAAAGCGTCCCTTTAGGTCAAAAGCGGTTTTAGACCAGCTAGAGAACAGCGATAGTAAATTAGAACCACTTGCAGAATTGAGTGATAATGATTCGTGGGGAAATTCATCATCAGACACTGAAAACGATTTTGCGACTTTGCTCAGTGATGTGCAAACTTGGCGCTATATTTAACATTTCAGTGTTTTTGGTTTGATTATATTATTGAATTAAATTGTTTATTATATTATTTTTTAGGATTATTTATTAAATTATAATTTATAATTTTGTGTTTCAAGTTTTATCCTACCCGGGATGTTTACTAGACTCTTGTTCGGACAGATTTCAGTGAGTTATTCCTAAGAATTACAGGCCTACAATATAAAACGCCAAATTTCCATGCAAAATAATAATACCGCTTTCAGCACCAAAAATCTGAAATAATCATACCACCAGGGTGGTTAACACAAAGTTGTCAATCTATAAGATATTTACAAAAAAAACAGCTTGGACATACCAAGAATTACACCTCAAAATACATTCTGCTTCTCCTGATTATGGGGATACTACATGTGTAAAACCTTGTCAATGTCTGTACAGATTATGTGCCCAGCATTGCAACAAGCCTAACACAAATATCAACAAACACTGTATAGAAAACAAGATAAACAAAAGATTACCTGTGGCATGAGGAGAGCATTGGTCCAGGTCAGTACAGGCATCAGGCTGATGAACAGGCAGGAAGAAGGTCCATAAAAAGTCCTAGGTCAGTACAGGCAGCAGGCTGATGTACAGGCAACAGGCAGAAAGAAGGTCCATAAAAAGTCCTGGGTCAGTACAGGCAGATATGTGGTCAGCACAGCCAAAGTATGGTTAAGGCAGCAGGCAGGAACATGGTCAATAGAATGTCCTAGGTCATTACAGGGAACGGGCAGAGATATGGTCAGCACAGCCAAAGTATTTGTCCAGGCAGCAGGCAGGAACATGGTCCATAAAAGTTCCTGGGCCAGTACAGGCAGTAGGCAGAGATATGGTCAGCACAACCAAACCATTGGTCCAGGTAGCAGGCAGGAACATCAGGCTTAGGACCAGGGCACGGGTAGAGGCTTCGTCCCACCCAATCTCTTCGAAGCCTCCGGACAAACAGACCCTGTTCTGGGAATTACAAAACCCAGAGAAAACCAAAAACTGGTTTTCTCTACTCAAAACTCTACTCTGAAGCCCCTCACATATGTGAGACCCCTGTGTTATCTTGAATCCTACTACTACAGTAGCAAGGCAAAAGATGAATCTAAGTGGCAGGCAAAAAACATGGTCGATTAACAGGCTTAGGTCAGTCCAGGAAGAAGGCATAAATGTGGTTGATCATCCAGACGGCAGGCAGAAGCATAGTTGATAAACAGGCCAGGGTCAGTTCATGTGAAAGGCAGAATCGTGGGTGGATAAACAATGCAAATGGCAGGCAAAAGCATAGTCGATAAACAGGCTGGGGTCAAATAAGGTCGAAGACAGTGGCATGGTTGGTTGAGGCAGCAGGTAAATGATCAGCAGAGATATTGAAACGGGGAAATGGCAGGCTGTTTGAAATCTGAGATAATATTTTTGTAACGTGAAAATGTTAGAAGCACTCTCCGATACACAGGCCTGGTTGGGAGGGACACTGGGGACAGTGAAAACTTGTGTCTCTTCTAACTCCTCTGCTGCATACCTGATATCTTTTTTTTTTGGCATCTTCAGCCTGCTTCTGTTGGTGGAATGCTCTCAGGGAAGTGTCACTCATGAAGTCTGCTCATAGAATTGGAACGAATGCCTCCTGTGGGGGGATCCTTGCTGATAGATAAGGGACGTGACAACTTCTATAAAATTGAGGATGGCAGTGAGTCTTTCTGTAGATTTGGTGTAGGTGACATACCCAATAGCCAAATGAATAAAATAGCTTGCAATATTTTTTATACCAGAAACGGGACCTTCTTGTTGCTAAATAGGGCTGCAACATCTGATCGTTGAAATCCACCCCCCCCCCCCCATGTAGAGATTATAATCTCGGATGGCCACTGGCTTTTGAATTGGACCATGTCTTCCAGTAATTTCCACCGTGGTGTCATTGTGGATGGTGGACAGGACTTAAACGTCTCTTATCCTTACACTTCAGGGCCACCAATTGTTTCTTAAGCTTGCTGATTCCCCCTTTTTGTAGTCTGGTATTCACTAGAGATTGTGGGAAGCCATTCCTGTTTTCTCAGGAGGTACCACAGACCAAGGTTTTCTCACAGTACAAGTGTTGGAAAAGGGGCGGACTGGTATAGAAATTATCCATGTAAATGTGATAGCCTTTTTGGAAACGTGGATAAGCCAGGTCCCAAACTATTTTTCCACTTGTTCCAATGTAGGTTGGGCACTCAGGGGGCTGGAGCTGGGATTCTTTGCCTTCATATATACGCGGAATGCATACAAATATCCCGTGGCTCTTTTACAAAGCTTATAGAGCTTTACTCCATATCTGGCCCTCTTTGAAATATATTGCTTAATTCCTAGCCGGCCAGTAAAGTGGACAAGGGATTCGTCTACACTATGTTTTTATCTGGGACAAGAAGTTCAGCAAATCTTTGGGAATAAAATTAAGAAGTGGGTGAATTTATATAATTTGTCATAGTTGGGATGATCTCTGGGAGGGCACTGGGTATTGTCGCTAAAATTAAGGAATCGCAGGACCTGTGCAGTACAGCAGAATAAATTGGCATGTGGTGGATTGGGAGTGTGGACTAATATGCATATCCTTCATTTTCTTTTGTAAGCCCCATGTTAAGGATGAGGCCCAAAAAGAACTTAAATTCCTCCAATGTAAGAGGTCTCCAAATGAACGGGCATAGGATGAACTGGGGCTGTTAGTAATGAATTATGTGGCATAAAGGTTTGTCTGGTCCACAATAAAGTGAAGTAAAGTGTTGGGTAAAAATAAGTTAAAAAAATTAATTTCTAAAAAATTCTCAGTGTTGGCCTGCACACCTGGCTGTGCAGTGAAAGGGGGAATGCTTGCTGATCTGGAGTTGGAGGGCAGCCATAATGGGTTGGCAAGAGCATATGGGAGGTATGTTTGGGCCCTGATTCTTGGGGGTTGATGGAATATTCTAGTGCTGGTACTGGGTCTTTCATCTATGGGTCTAGCGCCATTGGCGTTTGCAGATTGACGATTGGGATGTATGGTGCTGCTGGTGGCTGCTTCGTTTTCAGCGCACCATATCCTTTTAGAAGGGACCCTTTCCTCCTCTGATTCAGTCTCGAATCCACTGCTTTCAATGGGTTCATACACTGAATCAGAATCGGACAGTGAGAGCTCCCCGCTGTTCTCATCTGTCATACTAATTTTGACCGCCTCCTCACTAATGTAAACTTTTTTTGACATGGCTTGCTCTGGTGGCACTGGAACAGGTAGACTGCTGATGTTGACTGTAGGACGGGTACCCTAGTGAGGGTGCCTGTGTAACAGTACTCTGCTGGTGGTGGCACTGATGGATGCTGTACGACAGGTGCACTGCTGATTGGCACTGATGAGCACTGATAGGCAACAGGTGCACTGCTGATGGGCAACAGGTGCACTGCTGATGGGCGACAGGTACACTGAGTGACGGGTACACTGATGGGCACTAATGGGCAAAAGGTGCACTGCTGATAGGCACTGATGGGTGACAGGTACACTGATAGGCACTGTGATGGGCTGTGATCTGTGTATGCACTGTAAAAAACTGTAACTCACTGTTAGAAGATTCTTCTCCTCACACAAGATCTGTGTGTGAGGGGAGGAAGCTGGTAACTGTGAGTTACTGCTCTGTGTTTACATTTGTGCCAGGCTGTGATTGCACACAGCCTGTCACGTGGTAAAGAAACGCAGCCAACAGCTCTTTACCATGATCAATGAGCTTTATCCAAGGGACACACTTTACCAGCGATCGGCGCACGGACCACCTCGGGACCACGCATGTGTGGTTAGAGTGGGAGGACATCATATAATAATGTCCTCCCAGAACGAGAGAACCGCCGCCCGTCTGTCAATTCCTTATATGGCGGGCGGGAGGCAGTTAGGAGTTTTCAATAGTAGAAATTGGAGGCTACCCTAGAATATAGGGAAAACTTTTACTTTTCTGCAACAAAGGTACACTAATGGTATATTGTGTGAAAGTGTGAGGCCCTGCCGCTATGTGAATTTAGGTAAGAAGGTGAAAATGACACAGGATGTGCATTAAGGTTTAATGGGAAGCTCCCGAGTGTTATGAGCAGAGAAAGCTATGTTCTGCGCTTTCTCTGGGTTTTGTATTCCTGGATTGGGGCCTGCAGTTTGCAGGTTCCATAGAGTCTTGGGTGGGACAGCACCTTCAATCCTATGTCCGGGCTTTGCTAGATGTCTGCAGCCTGTGTGAGTGCAATTTTTAAGTTGGTGCTGTCACGTCTATGATAGTGAGCTCTAAAAAACCACAGCTTGGGGTTCCCCAGGGCACGTAATCTAAGCCCCAGCCTGCTTGTTCACCAGGGCCCCTGATGGTGGGGATGGACTTGGAGCAAGCTGGAACCAGGTTGCGGCCCCCAGGTACACCCAGCTGAGGTAGAGGAGACAGTTAGAGGGAACAGGGTACACCAGGAGTAGACACAGGAGATCCAGTTGGAAAGCCGAGGTCAGGACATGTGGAAAACTAGCAATGTCAGGAACGAAGCAGGGGTCGGTACAGGGGCAGACAATACAGGAGGGATGTCAGGGACGAAGCCGTGGTCGGTAAACAGATATACTAACAGATACTCATTAGAACACGGGAGTTCCAACAACAAACGTTGCTCAGGCAATGTGGCCCAGTCTGAGCACATCTTAAATAGATAGGCAGACAAGGAAGTGGGACAGGAAGTGATGGAAGGAAAGGACATAAAACCCAGGGAATAGCATACAACATCCATAGGTGAGTAC